AAATACAAATGAAACAGAAGATGAATTGGGCTTCAAATTGCTTCCGCTCCACCATATTCTCCATACATAACCCCCAGCGACTTTTTTTCATTGGCGCTGGAAAGAAATCCAGCGCCGTTGAAAAGTTAGTTGTCGAAGCTGATGCCTATTTTGGTGCTAAAGACAAATCGTCCTACAAAACCAAACCAAAGAAAAGTCACAGTATTTTCCTAGGATATGGCCGAGGTATGTGGATGATGTTTTTGCGATATTTGATAACAAAAAATCGAATATTGAAGAGTTTGTTTCATTTTTGAATAACAGATTTCCATCAATAAAACTCACGTATGAGTTAGAAAATGAGGGACAGCTTCCATTTCTTGACGTTTTGGTAATGAGGAGCCGTTGGGGCAAGCTAGAATACTATGTATTTAGGAAGGAAACAAAAGTACTTACAGGTATATTCCCGACAGTTCACATCACTGTGAACAACACAAACGTGCTGGGCTGAAATTTCCAGTGCATCGTCTTTGACTTTTTCTCTCACACATGAGGAGTTTACGAAAGAAAATCGGACAATACAGGCAATTGCAGTCAGTAACGGTTTCTCGAGGGGTATTGTAGATGATATTATAAGAAAGAAAAATTTTAGGTCAAGAATGAACGAAATTTCGACTTTTAGAACCGAAGAAAACGAAGATAAATATATCTCAGTTCCATACCACCAATACAAGAAGAACCACCAATATACGAGGAACTTTGGAAAAATATTCAAGGAACTAGGTATGAAGCTGGTAATTAAAACTAGTCATACACTACAGAACATTTTTGGAAATCCAAAGGACAAAGTCGGGAATTCGAAAAAGACTGGAATTTATGGAACTGAATGTAAGGACTGCGATGCAAAATATTATGAACATACTAAAAGATCTATCAATTAAGGAACACATAGCACACCTAAAATATGGAATACCAGAAAAATCATCAGTCGCCCATAATATTTTGCAAAAAAACCATTCCATAGAATTTATTTCAGTAAAATTAGTTAAACAAGTTAACAACAAACTACGAGGGTATAGATGCCAACTTTAGAGTAGAGAGGGCGAGTGTAGGCCCATAACATTTAGCCACACGTAACCCTTTGTACATCTTCCCAAGGAGTTTTCTTCCTAGGTCATGGTCCATCCTGTCCTTTCCAGGGAAGTGGACAGGTCTCTGGGAGACATCACCTTCATATCGGCAGGTGTAGGCTAAGACTAACCGAACACACACTTTCTTATTGACGATAACTCTGGACACTTGCATAAGACATGCCTGATAGTTTCATCTTCCTGTTCACACATAGAGGTGTCTCCACAAGCCCCATATTATGGAGGTGTTTCCTTAGTTGACATTGGCCAGTCAGAAATCCTACTGTTAAGCGTAGATTTTTCCTGGTCATCGCCAGATATTTCTTCGGCGCCAGCTTCCCAGGGTCGCTCAATATGATCCTGACAAGATTACATCCCATATCTTTAGGGATTGAGCATGGGTCTAACATTTGGCCAGTTCCGTAATTGTCGAATCATCAGGCCGTAGGTGCCACTGTGTCCTAAAATTCTTAGTCCAGCCGCTTCCTTGGCTAAAGAGTGGGCAATGCGATTACCTTTACTTCTGTCGTGCCCCTTAACCCACCTCAGGGTAATGTTATTATCTACCGAGGCTTTGGCTAAATCTTGGCGGCACTCTAGNACTAACTTGATAACCAGTATGATAATTTTGTATATATTTATTTATTTTATTTTGATCTGTGCATCTCTGTGTATATGTATTTTAATTTTAATTTTAATACTAAGGAAATAACGACGTTGTAATGTTTCATTTACAATGAATAAATTGATTGATTGATTGATATAAATAAGAATAATATTGTAGGTATGTATATTTAGTATAATCTTCCTCTTGAAGATGATGACTTGGTGATCGAAACACGCGTTGAAGTGTTAAAAAAACGGTTTGGTGTTGTGATAAAACTCCAGTAATATTTTTTACAAAAATAGTATCGAAAAATAAGATGACCGTGTCACCATCGAAGGAAACTATATTGAATACTAAATTCAAATTTAAACGATTTTTTTGTTAGCCTACGAACTATCGAGCTGAACGTTGATAAAATCGTCAGATTAGTAAAGTCAGATAGTTCATCTACCATAATACAAACGGTAAGTTCAATTTGCTAAATAAATTTAATTAAAACGTGCTTCAGAAGAAGTTGGAAAAGAGAAAATTAATAAATATTGTTATTTTGACTGACATTTAAAAAATCAACACTTACAATTTTATCGAAGTTGAAAGTGGCATATTTGCCAAGGTAGTCATATGTCCTGGTCTTGCTAAGCTAATGGTAAATTTAGCCTTGAAGGATGGTTCATCGAAGCATGGGAAAGCCTTCCTGGCATCTGTCGGAGAAAATTGAGTACTTGCCATCCGCCTAAAATATTAGAAGTGTACGAATAATCTTACAAAGTAATTACATTACTATACATTATTTCAAAAATATTGAATGCTTACCTTTCTCGACCCGAAGCATCGTTATACTGGCTGAGATAGAATCCCTGGAGATGTCCATTTAGCTGCCCGTTAAACGTCATACTCAAATCATAAGTTTCGTTTCTTTTGAGATCTTCCATCAAAATTATTTTGTACTTATCACCTTCGACATAGCCTTGTTCTCGTATCTCTATAAGACTAGAATTCGACACTGTAGAATTAATGCTAAGGGAATGCTCTTCAATTGTAATGTTGCTGACATGAAAAATTATTTCATTGGTAGGTTCCAATACGTTCAAGGTCATTGCAACGGAACCCGACGTGGTGGCATTTTGGAGATCTGGTACTATTCGTATTCTGAAAAAAAAAGAAAAAGAAATCATTTTTTTTGCCACCGCACCAAGTTGGTATGTAATTTTGCTCATCAAAGCCTTGATGTGTGACACGTTAAAAAGTAAGACCTCGTTAGTCCTTGCTCGCACAAGTTTCTCAACTTCTGAGAGTTGTCGTTCGTATGGGAGGCGACAGCTGATTAACGGAAAAACATTTTTTTTTTAAACTTGTCGCACAGACAACTTATAGTTTCAATGATAAGAGAGAACTTGTGGTAATTAGTTTGCTAGGACTTTCAATTCTGTATCCAAAAATTTATTACATACATTGGACCAAAACTCTACAATTCTTTACCGCCGAAGTTATACTAAATTGAAAATAGAATTGAAAACATTTATCAATCACAACTACCACAATTCTGAATAGTTGACTAATTCACCATACACAATAAATACAATGTCACAAGCTGTTGTTTCTGTATCTTCTTTCGTATTTGATGCTCTTATTATGCTAAAAGACTGCTCATCATTTTGCTCGTCCTTCTAGGAATTCCCAGAACTAATTAGTAGGTTCGTGGCTGTAACACAAGCTTGGCTTAGATAGCCACGATTCTTCATAGATGTAA